TACAGTCCTGTCTTTTCTTCCTCTGATTTCTACAGGTAAATTACACTTCCAACATACCTGTTCTCACTGTGAAAATGTAGGAATAATCTTACCAAATAATCATTCTGTTGTTGCTCACTACTGAATATTCATTTTCCTATTTAATTCAGTGCCATTCGAATGTCATAAAACCTGTAGTTCTCTCTAATAGAATATTTATGGCCCTGCTCTCAGGAATTAAATTTTGTATACAATTTCCAAATTTCACTGTATTCCATGGAGACTTTGTTCCTGAGTAAGTAACCAAGGGAACTAGAGTGAACCAGTAAAATCTGGTTCTGTGTGGAACTGCATTGTAACAAGAAAACATGCATAGTGCCAAGGTGAAGTTGGGCAAATGTTTTAATACAAATGGAATGCTTTGTTCAGTTGAAGCAGCCACGTTTCTTATCAGAAGTCTTCCATAAAATACTCCTAAAACACAGTGCAATTTTTTGTGTTCAGGAAGGATCTGTAATCGTCAAATTTGAGCCACAACCTTTTTTAACGGTATTTCTTACAACTGGAAGTTTGGCGAGAATTATTTTAATGCTACTAAGAGTACAGGAAATCATAAATGCCTCCCATCAACCTGCATTTTTTCTAAAGTTCAAATGCCCTAACCATTGTATTTCCTCCAGACATAACAAGGCTAGATCAGAATTCTTTGTCAACTCTTTATCTAGTCCTCTTCTTCCACATGGGAAGAAACGGTTCTACGTGAGCTAAAATAATTACCCTAGAGATTTTGGCCTTAACTTTGTCATAATACCTCCTTGTATTGTCGAAATTAAGTCACCTAAACGAATTCCAGTGCTGGCTTGGTCTCAGTTTCTGTGGTGTGTATGCTGTGCTTTGAGAAAGGTGTATCACTCATTTCCATGACTGATGCACAAGATGAGCAACAACTTTGTGTTCAACCAACATCTTGGTAAGAGGTGGATCTTTATGTTAATTTCTGTAAAAAGAAATCAAAATAAAAACAGCCTTACTAATTGAAAACAACAACCCAGATGATTTCCTATCATATGATAGTGACAGGTAACTTACACGTATGCCTTAAGTGTTCTGTCCTCTTATATGCACTCTAGGCTTTTGGCCATCAGAGGTAAAGGGATTTTGTGAGCTGAAGACTCTGCCTGGGTGGTCATATTTAAAAACTAACTCTGGACCTAATCTCCACAAATTTTCTAATTTTTCTTTGTTAATTTACAGTTTGATTCCACAACATTGAGTGACAGTGCTTTCCACAAATTATGCAAATGTTGGAAAAGGGACTCTTCTTGTTTTCATATCCAGGGCTTCTTGTTTTTCAAGAAATAATGAATACACTAGTTTTGTAGCATTTATTGAGTGGACAAAGGGAATGGATACTTGCCTGGTTTTTTCCAAGCGTCTGCAGATATGTACTTTTTTTCCGTGGCCCCCCCCCCATCCCCGAAGCCATCCTACTGGTTATCATCCCAGCACCCTTCCCGACAAGAGAACCAGAACTAATACAGCATTTAAGATGTGTAAACATTGTATTTTTATAGTTTCTTCCTTATGATGTCTTTGCTTTGTCAACTGTTGATGGGTGTTCCTCTGATTCTTCCGAAACATAGTCATGATGGCTCTAGATCTTTCCTGAGTGGCAGTAAGAAGCCTGGAGCTCCTGGTTGTGTTTGCGTGGTTGAGGTGGTCTTTCTGTA